GTCGTGATGTTGCTGCTGCGTGAAATCCTCACTGTGGCTGTGGCGTCCTTCTCCCAAAAGATCAGCAAAAAGACCTATTTAAAGGCCCATTACGGCTGGCCCAAAAATAGGGTTAGAAAATTAGGTTTAGAAAAAAGCCCATTAATGACTCTGCTGGGAGCAGGTGCTCCCTCTTTCGTACTAGGTGGTCCCTTTCTCCAGAATGTCCAAAAAGGGTCCAACTTCATTCCTTTCTAGCAATTCCGATTGCAAGTTCCAGTCATTGCTTCCAGCCGCTTTTTGTACCTAGAATGACTCGATAGAGAGTGAAAGACTCGATAAAAACCTACAAAACAAGGGTTAGAATGCGCCAAAACGCATTATATCAGCATACTCGGTATTGCAGAGAGTTATTGATCACTCTATGAAGTGTGGATTCGTATACTCCGTTTGAAAGTATCTGCATATATGATTCCGAAAAGATTCTCAAATGGATATTCAAGAAAGATCAGAGTTGAGAGTAGGAAGAAACAAACCTTTAACATGTCACCGTGTTGTAGACAAATGATCCAGAGATCGGAATGGCTGATATCCGATGGCCGCTCAAGTTTCTCACCTTTTCAAAGTTAAAAATCGCTAAGAGAGACAAAACCTCTTCTTCACATAAACATAAGAGCAGAGGAAGATTTTCATAATAATATACCTGAAGAGCAGTTTTGTCATCATCTTGATTCACAAGAGTTAACAAGCCTGCAGAGCAAGAGTTCCCCTTTGAGACAAAACTATGAAGATAGAATTAGAAATTCAACTAGATTTCACATAAGGCTTTAAACTTAATTACCATAGTCAGTGTGAGCTCCACTAGAACCAGAGCAGCGGGGTAAGCAGATATTAGAACAAGGTGAGTTATTCGAGCTGATAAGCGTAGATGATAGATAAGGATTTCAAGTCCGTGGGCCGTAGCCATCTCGTTTGCTTTCTCTCTTTTCTTCATAAATCATTTTTCTTCAAAACGTTTTACAATACCATAAAGTATTATTTGGTGACGCGATGTATCATTTGTTGTTGGCGCTTGTCCACTACGCGCGAACCCCAATACCATCTACTTCTACTTTGCAACCCTCTTCTTGAATCAGACTTAGTTAGGCCATCATTATCCATGATACAACGTGGGTATCATTAGGAGCAAACTTCGACGAAAAATATCCAGACAGTGCAATTCCTCCATGTCGGTGAATGGGTCAGCTTCATATGTTTGCGGCACGGTTCTGGTCAACCACTCGTCCCTTGGAATTAGTGGGTCGAACAATAGAACTGCTAGTTGTGCCACTAAACCGGTTTCGTTCTGTGTACCGGGTTGTAGCTCTAATAACCGGTCGAGAACGAACACAGGAAGCTGATTTTCCAGCAATACCATGTCACATTGAATCGAATGCATCAATCCCCGCATCGTGAAAACCGAATCGTTACGTTCGTATCTACACATAAAACAAAAGATTCGAAGTCAACAGTTTATAGATAACCGGATCTAAATTCTCACAAGAAATTTATTTGAGATAACCGGACAAAACTCAAAAGCAGAAAAATTAGTCAAACTGACCCGAGTTTCGCGAATCCTTCAACACGGCCCCTTAATATCTCGAAAACAAAACATCCATCAAGAACAAGTATTTCTATGAACTCATTACTGTCCATATAAATGGGACCTTCGTAGCAAGCACGAGCCTTCTCCTCGAGCTCTCGCGCGCATGGCATCAATAAACATCTCGATGCCATGGTTGTTACGTTCCAAGATCTTATTGACAGCACGCCATTTGTGGCACTCCATGGACTGGAGTTGCGATCCCCCATTAATATGGTACGGACCAAGCGAGACGGTCTTAGGAGAATAAGACGTGTAGAACTTTCCGCGCATGTAATATGAAATTTTGTAGATGCAGAGCTTACCCCGGCTTCTTATAGCATCATCTCTAAGGGCTTTCTCAAGGTTGTCTTTGATCGAGATCACCCATTGATTATCTCGGATCTCTTCATTAGAGAGAGCCATCATTTATTTAGTTTTGGTTTAAGCTTTTTACGGAGGCTGTGAGCAGAGGCGGCTAAAAAAAAGCCAAAAAATTTTTGAATCCTGTGCAAAAATTTTAACTTTTTTTAAAATATAGTCTATATTTACTAAAATCTAAAATTTTGGATCCTTTTATATATAATTTTAATAATTTTTGGGCCCTAAATTACAATAAAAATTAACTAAAAAAAATGGGCCCTGTCTACATTTGACATTTACTCTCACGGTCTCACCTCTCACAGCCAGGGGTAAGCAACTGCAACTGATTTAAAGCTGTAATCATCCCATGTGTTTGTTTATTTTTTATTCTACAAAAATCTTGTAACAAGACTCTCATAATTGCTTGTGATATTTATATTTAACGTGGGAGATTGAAACATCCAGAGTTACATTAAAAAAAAAAACTTTGTTCTCTTGTTAAAAAAACTAATAAATATTCGTAATATGTTATTGAGATCAAGATGTCTTACCTTCGATCAAGGTAATATAAAACAACAGATTTATAATACTTTTATAGC